TTCAGCCTATACCATTGTGTTAATGAAGGGAGCCTCATGAGGCCAGTCATCAGAGGGTTGGGAATGAAAAAGTTGAGATTTTAGGGGGAATCTTTAGTTTCTTTCCTTCTCTTTTGTATAATTTGTCTCATGATGGGTGACAAATAGAAAGTAAAAGGGAAGAAGGTTCCAGGAAAGTATGTGTGCAAACAAATAAGTATTTATGTTCAAACATGATTTTAAAGTATTGCTTGTTGTCAGAGATGCTAATTATGTGGTTTTCTATACCATATTTTCTCCAAATCAGCAGTTTGCCTTGTTGTCTTTGACTCTTAATATGCAATGTAAAAGGACTAGCAGTTTCTAGCCTTGGACCATTTAAATTAGTGATTAAAACCTTTAAATTTATGATATCCCATTGCTAGTTAATTTTATAGTGTCAATGCTTTATTTAAAAACTTTAAAGTATTTATTTGGTTACTTATGTTATTTCATTTTGTGTCCTTTTACTTTGTCATAATTTATGAGGTATGGTATGCAGCCAGTCTAGTAGCCAGACTAGGATTCCAAGCCAAGCAGACTGGCTATATAGTCTATGCACTTCACAGCATAGTTGAATAATGTCCCAATTCAATATGCATTTCTATCCTCATCACCAAGTTCACTGCCTTTCATCAACACCGAACATTTTTATAAACTATTTTCTTGTATAACTTTTACTAAAAACTTCCTATTTTAGTAAAATTTGATGAGTTCTTTTTGAAATTGTTTTTCCTGACTACATTTGGTAACCCTGAAATGTAGAATTAATTTATTAGAAAGTAGTAAGTAGCACACTGAATGGTTTTCCAGGTATCAACTTCAACCTTCTATCTATCACCAGCCAAACATTAATAAGTCTTTCTCTAGTTATACACAGTTTCTCATATAACACGCTTCTATCCAGCCAGTAACAAGAAACATCCACATTTGATTAACTTCATCTCTTCTCTCCCAGGATATCAGAGGAAATTTTAAACATTGCCAGGAAGCTTACATAATGAACAACCTAAAGACACTTATATTTCCTTTTCTTATACAAATAAGGGGCTTTAATATGATCTTATAAATTGAGTCTGTAGTAAGTCTATAGAATTACAAAAGCTGTGTTCTATCTTTAACATGAATTGATAGATTATCTCTTGCAATAAATTATATTACAGGTAAAACTACATGAAACCCTAGAATTAATCTATACTCTTGTAAGATGAATGAACAGTTTCTGTTTGTACATGTATCTTGCTGATGATATCATATTTTCTTAAATTAGGTTTTCTACATTTAAAATGTTACAGATTATAATATTTAGGTCAATTCCCTGAAGTCCTTAAAAGAGCGTACTATGGGGATACTGCTACATCGATGTTCATAGCAGCACAATTCACAGTAGCTAGATTGTGGAACCAACCTAGATGCCCTTCAGTAGATGAATGGATAAAAAAAATGTGGCATTTATACACAATGGAGTATTACTCAGCACTAAAAAATGACAAAATCATGGCATTTGAGGGAAATGGATGGCATTAGAGCAGATTATGCTAAGTGAAGCTAGCATAATCCCTAAAAAACAAATGCCAAATGTCTTCTTTGATATAAGGAGAGCAACTAAGAACAGAGCAGGG